TCTCTCTCACGTTTTTCCAGGTTAGTTTCAAACTCAGTGTCATTTATCCGACGCAAATTACGTCGGAATTACGAGACGCTCACGTATATCGCAAAACTGCGAGCAAACTATTATCACGATACTGGGAAATGGGTACTTCGCCCGTCACGCGATCGAATTTGCGCGAACACGACTTGTCGCCTGACGTTAACGTGCGAATCGTCGCTTTATGAAGTTTTTACGTTCTCGTTTCGTGCCCATGCAAAGATATCCCGACATCCTTACGTATATAGAATTTTTTTCTACGACTACATAAAATATTTTGAATAGAATATCTCTACGCGAAATCTGCATCACAAAAAACTGATACGTCGAATTACGAGAAATTTTCTAAAAAAAAAATTTTCTATATATATTCTCAAATATATCTTTATTTTCAATAAATTGACTTTGGTTTGGTTTTAACTTACTTAGCCGTAATTTAATATTAATCATTTGTAGAAGTGCCGCCGATTGGAGTCTTTAACTGTTGTGAGTTGAAAGGTCTAAACGTGGCGATGCGCGGCGATGTCCTCCAGAGGCGATATTCTTGGCGGGACAAACAAGGGTGAACGCACGTACGAAGAGAGAACGACGGCTCGCGCGACTGCACGTACTCTTCGCCCCAAATAGAACGCGCCGCCTGTTGGTAAACTTCGCTCTCTTCTGCCTTTCGATCGCCATCGCGCGCGTTAGCTCGTTTTCCCTCGGTACGATTCCTTACCTTAAATACAGCCAAGGAATGTCTACTAAAACTGCTCGCAAGAAATTTCAAATAAGATAATTCAGAACTTTATCCCTCAAGTAAGTTCATGAACATGAATACATTGAACTTCAATTCTTTCAAGTTTTAGTTAGGAAAATTATATGACAGTTAAATGTGTAATAAAGTTTTTATAGGAAATTTATTATAATTTGTGGATACGCATATTTGTACAACTTTTAAATCTATGTTTCTAAAGGATTAATCTCGATAGAAGAAAAAAAATTTAATTTAAACACAGCGGACGAAATTATATGCTGGCTACGTTAAATATGAAACACACAGTTTATTTAATGGACAAATTCTGGCCGATTGGAAATAATTAAAAGTTTGAAATAAATACAGATATCATGTTGAACTTTGCAATAAACTCGGGTAACTCGGGCAAAATCAAATACCATCCTGAAAATTGATCAATAGTTAGAAAAATGTAAAATCCGCACCCGTGTAGAAAAGTAACTCTTCAATCCGCGTGTGACAGCGGAAACTGCAAAGTGAAAAGTTCCAACGACGGCCGAAAGAGCAGTCGTTCCCTTCACATCCGGTCTGACGGGAGTCGGAAAAATTATTTTTACTTCAATCGCGAGTGTTTCGTCGCAGTTGTCGCGTGTTGCTTCGAACTTGCTATTGTAAGCTTCTTAAAAACTATACTTTACAATATTTTTCTGTGATGATGTTTTTATACACTACAAGGCCTTGATGCATCATATGGTGTTTCTTTTGTAAAAGCAAAAAAAAAGCATTTAGCTAAACACTTTCAAAAATTACATTAAATTTGATGATAATTTGAGAGAGCATAATTCTTGTAAATATAAAATTAATATTGCAAAATACGATTAATATCTTAAAATTTGATTAAACGACAAAGTGTTAATAATAAGTTTAGTGACAACTCTTCTTAAGTACTGTTTTAAAATATTTGCTGTTGTGGAATCAATAAACGCGGAGCAAATGTCCAAAATGTTGCGAATAGAATTGGTGGGTCTTCTATTGTTGACCTGCACGCAAATTCTTACGGAGCATCGTGACTACTATGAAACGCGGAATCAGCAGTATCATCAACGATTTTATGATCTTCAAGAAAGAATAACGAGGGAAATTCGCGTTAAGGAAGGCCGACTACGTGGCATGGTAGTTCAACCAAGAACTAATCACAATCTGCAGCTGGTTGATATCTTTCTTGGTAAGTTTTGGAATGCTATTACGTTTAACTATATAAAGAATTATCGGTTATATATAACAAAAATATAAAATTCGTAAACGTAAAAAACTTGCTCATCACTCTGTGGATGGATGATTTAATTTTCCAAAAACAAAAATCATTATTAAATCTTTTCTATTGCAATGATGATGTTTAATACTAAAAATGAGCGTTGATTTTTTTTTTTTTAAGAGAAAGCTGGGTTGAAAATAACTAAACTGCTTATATCGATCGGACATAACATTTAATTCACCGAAGAGACTAAGCTTGTTGACGCAAAGCTGTCGTTTCATATGCAAGAATCTGGTACAACGGTATCTCGATAGTGTTCGATACTCCGAGGAAACTCGGCTCCGGTCAGTGAGCAAAAGTTTCCTGGCAGCTGCATATATCCGCGCTTTGAGAGTCCCGATACGTCAAAGGATCCGAAACGAGGAGCTCACGCTCCCGCGTCCGTGTATTTCGGGAACAGATATTACTGCCATCGCCGCACATCTCTCCCCTCCGGCTTTCTCCGTCTTTGCTCGCGCGTCCGTCAACTTGCACCGCCACGCGTCGAATTGCATCCGCATGTGCATCACTTTGTATATACCCAAAGTCGAGTTTACGCCGTTCCTTCTCGATAATCATTCATTCGTTCGTGTTCAACGTGTATTTGAGTCACATCTTGCTTGAGACCTGTTAACCTTGTTAGAGAGTTAAGTGAATTAAAAAGAACCGATAAAAATAAATTACATGAAATATATAAATAAATGCTAAGCCGAATCGAGGTCGAATAGAAATTTTAATCGAAATTGACGTTCGATTGTGTTAAATGAAATTAAATTGGGATTTAATTATAATTTAATTTCAACTGATTGAAGAACGATATTCAACTTAATTAGAAGTTAGCAATATTGACGTAAAACGGAATCCTTCATTAAAAATATATTTAACGCTGTAATAATAATAATAATAATAATAATAATCCGGCGAATAATTTATTTCTTCAAATAAATTTACCCCGTAACAAAAAATGTCATTTACCGTATCACGTTGGTTTAGTATCAAGCTATAAATCTAAAGTATCGTTGTCTAAGTCGATCCTCCCCTATGTGTTTTAGGAGTTCCTTATGCGGAGCCCCCAGTGGGATCCTTCAGATTTTCACCGCCTCGTTCACCGCAACCGTGGAGAGGGGTGCGGCAGTCGCAGGAATTCGCTCCAGTTTGCCCGCAAGTCTTGCCAAATCTTCGAGAGGAAGTAGAATCAGGCAGGTACGAGTACCTGAAGAGGCATTTACCGTACCTGAAGAACCAGAGTGAGGATTGTCTGTATCTCAACATCTACGCTCCTCATCAGGCCGAAGGCGAGTGATTATGGAAATAAGAGATTCGTCATTGTTAATAATATTGCAGTTGGAAGTCGTTTGCGTCGATACGAAATCATTTCCAATTTATGAGATTTAAATATACTGACTTTTGCTGCTTTGTTTTCGTATTGATTGCAAAAACTTGCGATCGTATTGATCGTAAAAAAATCTAAGAGATTATGATTTAATCCGTTTAGTTTCAACATAAATTGTTATTTTGAGTTGATTAAGAAATCTAGATACTTATTTTATTTAATTTCTAATCCAGCATTTCAAATCCAGCTTAATTTAATTTAAATTTAAATTAAGCTAAGAATAAAATGTTTATGTCACATTTAACGATGTGTGGGAAAGTGAAAAAAATTTTTATTAAAATATATTTATCACTAGGAAGTACGTGATGGAAAAGCAAATAACCAAAGTATTTTACACATCGTATATAGTAGGAACGAGATGTGATTCTCATATTCGAAGCACAGACGACCCGCGGCGGAATAATCCTTCGATAGAATGATGAAAATATCTGGCGTTGAATTGAAACTTTCCTCGGATTTTCCTCGCTACGGCAAAACGAAACATGGGATATTCAATCTACTAGAAAAAGGGAGGATCAGATCGATCGTTCGATCTCGCGCCGGCTCGCGATTATGCGGACGTATTCGGCTCTGCAACGAGCTTTTCCACACGGTCAACTGCGTAAAACAGCTGCCATCGATTTACGGGGCCGGCGTCATGGTGGAAGGAACGGTCACGTCGAGTTCGGTTTTCGGTGTGTGTGTGTGTGTGTGTGTGTGTGTGTGTGTGTGTGTGTGTGTGTGTGTGTGTGTGTGTGTGTGTGTGTGTGTGTGTGTGTGTGTGTGTGTGTGTGTGGTGCGTTATAAATTCATTCGCTGTGTCCGTATATATTCATTCCGCCAGTCGGTCGTTCGGTCGGTCGCCCCACCGTATTCACCATTTTACAATACCGTCAGCCCGAGTGGGTTAAAACTCGCGTCGCCAGGCCATTTACTAGCGTATGGAAATATCTGCAAGAATTCCAAATCGAATTGACCGGCGGGGGCTTTCGACTCTAGCTGCTACGAGATATCACTCGCAAAACCACACCATCGTGCCACGTCAGCACGCTTGTTTCACGCAGTGATACATTCGTCATGAGCCGACAATTTTTTTTTGTTTTTTCTATTGCATTTCCGTGACGAAATACGATTTTAAACCAAAATTTTATATTTTGCATTTATTTTAAAATTTCCCTCGCATTTCACGTGGATGTGGATTGTCAAAATTAATGTGAAAACGAAAAGAAGTCGATATTATTCATTTTTTGAAAGTATTTTAAATGTAGTTTGGTATGTATGATAATATGATATAATTTACTTATGAAGATAGCTTGATTTCTGCAAAAATATGCCGTATCTTTTTTATCCATATCGTCTTTCTAATGTGGAAATAGGTTAATCTTTGATCATTGTTTGAAGGGCACTTCTTATCTCTTCAGATAAACGCGATAAGCAGCAGTGGATCTTCTCATCGTTTTCTCAGTAGGCATTAACCCGTTAAAGCAAGCTCGAGTCGAGGATACCGCAATTACCGCAATTGTGGTCGCGCGAGATTGTTATTGCGCGAGATTGTTAGAAAGTAGATTAAAGAATATAATACTAATTTGATGTTACAAAGTTCTAAAATCCTTGACACGAATGTTTGTTGGGAGATTCCGTGAACATTTTAATTTTGTTTCTATTTTGACATAAAATATGCTTAACTTATTAGCGGGTACATTAAGAGAGAAGCCGCAAACACGGAATTACTATTACGCGTCTCGCGGAATCATTCTACGAAAGACACGTCGGATTTGGGATAAAACGTTCATGACCATCTTCCTCGGCGAAACTCTGTGCTTTGGGGTTGAGTGAAGCTAGAGAGGAAAACGTGTGCACGAGTGCCACTCGAGAAAGTCGCCAGAGCCAACACGGTCTTTGTAACGCCTTGTCGTTCTACGGTTCCAACGAGACCAATTTCTCTTCCATCGTGTTTTATTCGGAAAGGGAAAGAGCGTGGAAGGAAGAGAGGAAGAGGCAAGGGTGCACGTACTTACTGCGCTTTATGCTTAGAGTGCTCCTACCAAATTACGTAATATTATATTGATGATGTATTTATATATATATGTATTTTATTTCCCAAATGTGAAGTGATATTTACTTATTAAGATTTTTATCTAAGCCCCTTTTTCTACTATTTACAAACATATATATGTAATATGTTATTAGGCTAAGATGAAGCTATTTTATTATTGTTTAAATAAAAAAGGAAGTGAAACAATTGATTTTTCTAAATTAATGAAAAGCAAATAACCGTTTTCTGAAATGATTAAATTTAATGTTTAATTCTTTTAGAGTTGTTCTCCGTCTATAAATCTTGACATAAATCAAATGTCAATTGAATTCGATGACAAATTTGCCATTCTCTGCTTTATCGTGTAAAAATAATCCTTGAGCCTTCAAACTTTTGCTCGCTTGCAATTCTGATCCTCTTTGGATTGTCTGCTCGTAGATTCGAACTCGAATATCGAGGTGAGAAGCTAGCGTTTGAGATCCTCCTTACGGTCGACGCATATTCGGTACGCCGCCATATTGCTTCCCTCCGCCTCTCTAAATCTCGCCCTCGGGCGAGATTTATTCGACTGTGCACCGTAGATCGAGCATTAATGAATTTTCCGATATTTTACAGCGCCGCGGGGGTTGCGATCGTTGAAAGCCAACCCTTCTCTTTCTGCTTCGTATTTTTCGCCTTCATTCTCATCTTTTCTCACTCACACGTGCACATTCATATCCTCTTTTTTTTCTATATATATATATATATCCATGAGAGAATAGCAAAATCTGGAGAAATAAAGGGAAAATGTGATTTATATTATGGAAATTATAGTAAAAACGATATACGCATCATTATGTTATGATAATATTAGAAAATAATTATGAATAAATGACAAACTCTTTAAACTTCTAGTATAAGTAAAATACAAAACTTAATTTAATTGACTTTTTCAACAAATTTAAATATTTTCTTTGGTTTATGTAGAATATATATGTGTGTGTGTGTGTAGTATATATATATATATATATATATATATATATTTATTTACTACGTTTACTACACACACACACACACACACACACACACACACACACACACACACACAAAAAGTATATATACATACATACATACAGATACATACAATTATATGTATTCCACACACATAGATATATATATTTACATTATTTATTTATAATGTTAAATAGCCAAAGAAATAATGTATCTGGATCATAATCTAGATCATACAATAGCACACATATATCTTACACTTAAAAAAAATATTATAACGTTTACATATATGATTTGTAAAGTTTCAATATTTAAAAGAGCGAATCTATCTTATGCGCGGAGCAACCCCTTTAACCTGTGACCGGACGGTTTCGATTTATTCACAATCTCGGCACATCTTTCATCGCCCGACCGCGGCTTTTCGCATGTTCGCCGGCCGAAATGCACTGGGAATAAGTTTTGTTTACCAACCGCGCCGCGAGCGGTTTCAAATTAAAATGTCGGAGCGTCCGCGTGGGGCCGATTTTTCCACCTCTCGCAGTGAAGGTACCATAAATCCCGGATAACGGTGGCCGCCCGATGACGTCGTCTGGCGTTTATGAAGGCTAAAGAGAAGGGAAAATAAATAAGAGATTATTAGCATCGTACAGAGTCATTTTCGTGTTGAGAGGCATTGAATATATCATCATAAATGAATCGAAACTAATATTATCAAACTGATATTATCAAAGTTAAAGAAAAAATTTGCTTATCTAATATAAATATCTTTATCATTCTAATATAATGATATGCTTTTAAATAATTTTTATATTATTCTAATAACAAAAAATTTTTAAAAATTTGAAATTTCTATTATTTCTTATTTAAATCATTATTCTCTAAATTTTACGGTAATTAAATACAAGTATCACAAGTATTTTACAAATCTAAGAATTAAAAATTTTTAATTTTATTAATCAAGAATCCGTATAGGTGAAATTCTAATGAAAGACATCTGCAGAACTTCAAGTTCGCCAAAACAAAAGATGGTAGGAATTCTTAATCGGTTCAAAGAATTCGGATCGCTTATAAGGTTTCCTTTAAAACTTCTCAGTTGAATTTTTTTTTTCGTGAAACTTTGGTAAAAAAGATGCTATCAGTAAAATGAAATACGTTAGGCTTATCTCATCATTTTATTTAGCTCTTTAAATAGCAGTAGACACTTTTCTTCAATGTCTTCAACATTTTTATCGATATTAAAAGTTTTAAAGTCTGATTGATAAAAAAATTTGTCAATACATCGTTGCTTCATTAGGAAACTTCAATAAATAAGATCCCGGGATCTAGGAGAAGAAATCGACCAATGACAATCGATGTTCTCGAAAAAAGTTCAGATCACCGGGAAGTTCGACCCGTTAGTAACGTTACGAGCAAACACCCCAAAGAAATTGGCTTTGTTACGTCAGAAAGCGAAACCGTGCATTTCCGTCATGTTCTCGAGTTTCGTGAAATACATGCTCCTCCTCCTCAAAGGCTGCATCTAATGGCTCGTGTCGCAAAAGTTGCTCCAGTCAGTCTCTCTTCGTCTCTTTACTTCCGTTTAGCCGGCATCACATACATCATTTATTTATATAGGGCAAAGAAACGGATAAGTGTAGTTCAAGCTGCGTGGAAATTTCAAAGTGTATCAATTCTTTATAGGATAAAAAATAGGAATGTCACGAAATGACATAAGAGTAACCAGATTGTAAAAATCATGAAACGATACTCGTATTGTTCGAATGATAATTGCTTTCATTTTTTAAATCCTTTTTGAACGTCTTGAAAGATGTGGCAGAAACTTATAAGTTTTTCTTTCCGAGATGTCTTCCCAAGGAATTCAGAACTCTTCAGCGTTGGCTTATTCGCATTCCGGGGCT